GATCACGACGGTCGGCGGCCGGCGCGCGCTGTCGATCGTCTCGTACCTCCTCTCTCGTCGATGGGTCTCGACAGCGGTGGTAGCGCGACGTGTTTGCACGGCATTGAGCCCGCTCCCCGGCTTTCGATCCCTCGCGGGGTGCGCGAGCGAGCGCTGGGGGTTGCGACTGCAGCGCGGAGGGATGGAAGGGCCGGTGGGGGAGAGAACACGGTGGTACGCAAACCCATTATTATGATTATTATCCGCGTAGAGCTGAATCGGCCGCGATCTCCCGCCCCCTTCCTCTTTGCGTTCTTTCCTCCCTCTCGCCACCGGTCTCTCTCGCGCTTTTATTTCAGTTTTAATTCCTACATTTTCACGTTCTTCACGACCACACGCGCATGTTTATGTGTGCAAAACGCGCGGCGAACGTTCGTGTGCCTTCGCTAGTGTAACCGAGCGATACCGGAAGATGGCGGTTTAAAATTGAGAGGGCGGGCATGGACGAAGAGGAGGAGAGAAAGAGAGGAAAAATTCGTCTGTTCGACGTTCTCGCTCGCTCGCTCTGCATCGGTGTTGCAATTAATACGGTACAGAGTGCGAGCGAGCGAGATCGACACGAAAATGTACTTTGTTACGCGCGAATTTATCGTATTGAATCGCTCGAAAGCGACGTCGAAAGTGTGTTAATAAATATAACCGAAATACTTCGTGCCGTTAGCGGTGCTGGAGTATAAAGCGTTACGTGGTGGAGAATGAAAATTACCGAGTACCAGTTACTGCTATCGCGGGAGGCGAAGATAGAACGAGGGGAAGCCCCGCTTATAAAGCGCGCGCGGCGCTAGAATAAAGTTTCCCCCGCGCGGAATCGCGCTGTGCAGTCCGGAACTTTACTTTTAAATCCGTCCGGGCAACAGTCGCGGTTTTTAAACGAATCGCGGCGAATTATAACGCGATTTCCGCCCTCGTTAAATCGCGAGAGAGCTCCGCCGCGCAAAGGGAAATTAATTAAACGGCGGGGGCGGCGGTATCGGGAGGAAAAGAGGGAGAAAAAGAAATCGGAGAAATTTAGTACGCGCGATGAGAACGCGCGCCGGCGGTGCGTTAATTAAGACGCCGAAGCGCACCGTGGGGGGACGGACGGTTAGTCGAAATTCCGTGTATTTAAAGGAAAAAGAAATCGCAGAAGGAAAGGTCGAGAAACGTGGCGCTCTGCGCTTTCCCATGTAGATCGCTGATAGAAAATTATAGCTATTTTCGGCGCTAAAGATATTTTTTAGTAGTAGCAACGTACACGTAAGGCTATCATCGCTGACACTATAGTAGTAACACTTACTAGAAAAACGCCCCCCATCCTGACTATTTTTGAGGTTAAAACAAAAAAAAGGCTCGATGCCGAAAATAACTATAATATTCTCGATCAGTTTGATGCATCAAACGCGCCCAATCACCCGTGATATCGATAACCATTGCGAGAGCGTTCCGAACGACGACGAGCCTTCGCACGTGTGACTCGGCAGATCGAGACTTTTCGAAAATGAGGAGAGGGAGAGAGAGAGAGAGACAGGGAGAAGGGGAGTAGGATGAAAGCTAGCTAGGCGGGCGGGAGGAGTGTAATTTGCCTCTAATGCAGCACTCGACGCAGCAGCTGGCTCATCGGCCCTCTGCTTTCCCATTCGCCACTCGGCCGCAACCGGCAACAGTAGCGATAATAATAACAATACCGGTAACAATGCCAGGAGTGGCCGGGCATTGTAACACACCGCGCCGCGCTCTCTCGCTTGCGAGCGCGCGAAAGGGGGGCCGGGTACTTGGAGAGTAACAATGCGAACGCAAAATGGAGGGACCCATCTGCTTGTGCCCGTGCCAAAGAGACACGCGAGGGGGCGAAGGGGTACTACTACTAGGTGGAGGTGGTGGTGGACAACGAGAGGGAGGGAGGGAGGGAGAGAGAGAGACAGAGAGGATACGCGCGGAGGGACGGAAGATGATCAGCCGACGCGTGCGGCGAGAGAAGCGCGACGAGATAAACGCGTCGTGTGTCGCCATTTTTCTACGCTCTTGGCCGAGTCTCGTGGCCGGGGGTGATGTCTCGAGGAAGGACCGTCTGATCAGAGTCCGGCCGCGTGCACGTCTCGAAGGACGTGGAAGGAAGTGCGTTCGATCACCGGCGATATCCACGCAGGTGCAACAGCCTTAACACGTGAAGTGATAACAGCCTTCTAGAGCGCGTAATGTTTGCTTTTCTTAGAGGCTCTAAAGTGGTGTAACTTAGTGCGGTGAGCTTATCATGCTGGCCAGTGTACGGCGCGGAAATGTAGACGCGATTATTTATGTTTGCCCGGCACATTTGGTGTGTTTTACAGCTTGACAGTCTTCACTACATAAGATTATGTCATATTAGAATTTCCCAGTTTAAATCCTCTTAAGTAATACCATTGTAGAACTGCGAGAAATAAGTTACACGCTTCAGAGAGATACGACTCAATGTGTACTGAGAGAAATTACAATTGTTCTCCCGTAGAAAAGTATATATATCTAAAAATATATCGTACAATATATTTCATTAGTTATTATAATTAGTTATTATAATGATTAGAGTATGTTACAAATAATAAATAGTTTTCTCTCAGTGTGTACGTGCGCGCATGTCGTTGTTATCGACATACCCCGTGCGCCGGGAGAAGTGCGGAAGTGCGATCGCACGCATGCGGGGAAGAAGCGGCGCCGCGTGATTCCCCGTTCTCCGTTATCGCTCCCGCACGCGTTTTTGGCGGTCGTTGGAGTGCCCTCTCGTCGGCGAACTCGTTATCGAAACTTATGTAGGTAGTACGGTTCGTGCGCGGCATTCGGCCCGGGCGCGCGCGCGCGCGAAAATCCCGGCTGATTGCAATCAGGCCTCTTCGCCGACTTCCGTGCTCGACTCGGAATCGATTCGTCGGCGACGCTCCGAGAGTGCTCCGAGAGAGCGCGCGCTCGACTTCCGGTTTAAGGAAGCACTCCGCTTACACTGCTTCCGATCGGACGGATGTCGCTCGTACGGACGGAAAGCGTTATACTGCCATCGCGGAGAACACCAATTACACGTTTCGCTTCCGATCTTGCGATCATCGAACTTGGACACAGCGATCGCTAAATACACCTTTCCGACTCTCAGGCTGAAGGAGCGTTCATAGGAGTAAAACAGAAACTCGGAATCAGAAAGGCACGCTTAACGTGCGCTATGCGCCCAGAATAAGATTCTGTAAGTCAATTCTGTCCGTAAGTCAATTCTGTAACTTTCAACGACACTGTCGTTATCGTTACGTTGTTGTTTTCGTTGCACTGCCGTTGCGCAGCTCAATCTGTCGCACTGAGAAGAATTATCGTTATTTTCGGTCTCAGTTATATCCGTTTTATGATTTTCACCCCAGAAGTAGCGGCAACAATATGCATGTAACATTATAATCATTGACTCTATAGTAACATTTACTTAGAAAAATGATACTCCTACGATTCTTTCACCACGATGATTACAGTGTCACAAATGCCAACGTATTGTTCTCTCGGTGCGCATATTGCACTCGCGCGACGACAACGTAACGACCACGACACCGTCGCCAAAAGTGAACAGAACAGACCCACTGGATTCGTTCGATCGTAAGCGAACGATCGTCGGGTAGCCGAGAAATCAAAAAGAAAGAAAATAAACGGGAAACTCATGCGAGTTGAGTCGACGTCGTCCGTCTCGAATCGAGACATTCCGCCGCGATGGCAAACGGAGACAATTCCCGAACGCTCGCTTTCGAAGGGGCTGATAAGTAAATTGAGCCGCAGACGGAGAGACGAACGGTAGACGAAACGATAGACCGTAGCCGAGGGGGAGATTCGCCGCCGTTACGTGCGCACGGACGCAGGATGCGGCCAATGAGCCACGCAACAATTATTTATTGTTGCCAGACTGATGCGCGCCGCGCCGCACGTCGAGCCGGCCAGACCTGTCTGTCCAATGGAAATGAATACGCTCGTTAAAATTGACGTATGCCTTATCGGCCAGCCTGGCCCGCCGAGGTTGAACGACGACGGCGACTCTACTGCGCGCGGCGTCGTCGAGCAATCGGCTCCCAATAAAGTAATGTTGTTGTTGTTATTATTATTATTATTATTATTATTTACGTCTGTCGATATAATTCGTCTCACTGTTTCTGCCCAACGATGTACCGCGTCCATAGAAAGAAAGGAAAGGAAAAAACGCGGCCTTGTTCCATCACGGAGGAACCGAAGTGAATCGAAACGCTTGAGGTCGGCGCGTGTTGTATTTTGAAATTCGTTCACGATACTCGCGCAGTCGAGCGGCTGCGATTCGAGCCGCGCGATTGACCCTCTCGCATTCGGGGTACGAGGAGGGCGCTTTTAAAATAGAAACTTTCGCGGCTGCAATAACGTTCGATTTGTGTACGCACGTCCGCCGACTTTTTTTCCCAGCCGTTTTCGAAATTCTATATTAACGGGCCCGGTAACGCCGCCCGCTCCCACGCGAATCGATCGGCCGAGAGAGACGACGCGGTTACACCCCCGCGCGTACACCCACCATATCCGGCCTTCTGCAATTAATCTCCTTTCAGCGATTAATCTTCGCCATGGCGGTGTACGTCTGGTATGAACCACGTATATGTTATATGCGCGCGGGTGGGCGAGTCGATTTCATCGAACGGTTGTCGCACCGGTGCGTTCCGAAACGTACTGGCAGCGATGGTGACGTAAAATGCGGATTTGTTTTCAGCGACAAACGGAAGAAAACAACCTATATTCTATATTCAGGAAGATACATAGCACGGGAAATCATTTCAGATAGTCGTGAAGTCGCGAAGCGAACCTTCCTTGACGACCAATCGTCGTCTCACGACTTCCGTCGGTGAGAATCGGAGCCCTAATCGCTCGCGCGCGATCAGGGAGAGAAGGTCTCTCCTCCGGATACCTCGGCCGGTCGTTCCGCCTGATTATTCGAGAATAGCTGGCACACCCCGGCACTGATTACATACCTGAGTAGGCGTTAAGTGAATTAGGGACGCTAGGTGCTCTCGTTCGGGTGCGCTGAGGTACTTCTGTTGCTTGAATCGCCTTTCGAGCTCGTATACCTGGGCCTGGGTGAACAGCACACGTCTCTTCCGTCTTTGGGCGAGGGGGAACTGCATCGCACCGACGCCCATGCCGACCCCGACGCCGACGCCGACCCCCATTCCCGACGACTTGGTCACGTCGCCCATCGACTGGCCCACCGAACAGCCGGCCATGTTGGTCCCGGCGCCCGCCGCCGCGGCACCCATCAGCCGCGAGACTGCAAAACATATTGAGCAAACCGGAAATGATACTTCGCGCTCTTCTCTTGACCCGCAGACTTATCTCTAGGCTTAATTAACCTCTCTCCCCCCCCCCCCCCCCCCCCCNTTTTTCTCGGCCTGCCACTTTAATGGATACAGTGGGATCGACGACTTTTAAACGGCTTAACATTCTTAACCCTCATGGGGGAAAAAAGATTGGTTAAATTAACGTAACAATGAATGAATGGATTGAATATTTTTTGATTGAAGAAGACAGAATTTCTGATCTTAAGAACCGAATTTAGTTCACAATCGGGACTAGAAATTCTGCTTCCTTTGGAAAAAGTTCGTTCGTGACGAGAACGCGTTTAGTTCGTTCGTTCTGTCACGTTAATTCAACCAAACTTTCCTCTCCGTACCTGAGTTGCCTTCCGAGGGGAGTGCGACCGACAGAAGCGAACGAAACTTATTTTTCCGTTACAAATTTCTATATTCGCCAAATTTTCCTCATCTCTAAAGTAAGATTACGTAACGTAACGTCAATCTGTGAGAACGTTCTTCGGAAGTCTGATTCGCGGAGAGAAGAAAGATCCGGCGGTCGAAACGTTGATGAACAATAACGGATCTTCCTTGGAAAACGGTGTTTTCCGCTCGAATCGATGCGGTCGCATTGATAAACGAACGTGGAGTGATTCTTCCGTGTCTCCTTCAATGTACATTCGAGAGACACACGATCGGGTCATCCGCGCGCAACCCGTGTAGACCGCGCGCGAGCAGCAAAAGTGGAATACTCAAGCGGTTCCGCGTCGGATCCACGAGGATGACGCGGCCTCTCTCTCTCTCTCTCTCTCCGAATTCGAGCTACCGAAACCCGATGAACGAGCGAGCGAGCACGGTCCATCCCTTGTCAGTTGGCGAAGGGCTGTCAGGAACGAACGCGTCTGGCCGCGGACAAAGAGAACGATTTAGGCGCGCAAAGTGCTACGTCACCGCGAGCGCGGGAGGTCCAAGATGAGGTACCCGAATTATTATGTCTGTGAGAACGTGTTCTCGGAGCCGTCAGTGGAGTCGAGGGCGAGAAAGAAATACCACTCGAGCGCAGGAACAAATACCGTCAAATTTGTTTACCCCGGGGCTCCGCCGTGCCAGAGGAAGAAATCCGGCGGGGCCGCTCCCGGCCGCCTTCGTTCGCGTTTACGCTCGTCGAACGTAAGCAATACCGTATTTTCGCTGGCGGCGCGCGCTGTATGTATTTTTATCCCTCTCTCATTACGCGGATATCCGGTGCCTGGTTATCGCGAGCATGGCCTGTATTCGCAACGGCCGACTTCCTGTATCTCCTCCGGTCAAACACTGAAGATCGCGAGAGAAGCCACCGATCAGCCACGTTCTTAGTGGAGAATCCAATCGGTTATATTGTACTTGTTTCGAGTATTTCATCATTTTTCGCGTTAAATCTAATCTCTTCTCCCCCCCCCCGTCTCCCCCGTCATTTTTTCGATTCTGGAAACTTATAGATTTTCGCATCTGTACGCGATTACCTGTCGCGCTGTTACATAGTAACGAATTGTGCCGGACTTGTAAATCATTGTGCCGCTCGTGCACGGCGTTATCCTCGTCAGCGGCCGTCGTGAACAATGAATATGCGGCTGACGGGACGGAATGTGTTTCGGTGTAACTTCTGCCAATACACGAAAGGCGGATCCCGATGGTGGGCGAACAACGCGCGTGCAGGAGCTCGTTAAATAAATTGACGTTTCTCCGACGGTCTATCCGGCCACCGACGTCGCGCGCCTTCGCCTTACGTCGGACACCCTTCTCCTCTTCCCCCCTCCCCCCTCTCGCTACCTCCAGCCGGTTGGCGTCGCTTCGGGGCGCAATAATGCTGCGTAACGACGGAGAGCAAACCTACGTCTCGATTTTTCGAATTCCAATTAGGTATTAGATAGGTGACAGAAGTCGGAGATTTCTCGCTCCGCGTCACGGACGCATCCTTCGCTCGCGAGGCAGATTCCTCTTTCGCCGAGTCATCGTAGTAATTATCGCGTTACGTCGATCGCGATTCGGCAAGTTCTCGTCGGCAGGTATAACACCGTTGACTCTCCTCTCGAGAAACGACGTTACATCATCCTCGTTTTACACGCGTGTAACACGGGGGTGACGCGGGCATGAAGCGATGAGATTCGTAAAAAATTCGCAGAAAAAGGGCATAATGGGTAACACGTATAAATAACACGCGCGTGCGGACGAGAGAGGGCAACGTTTAACAATGGAAGTTTATTAAAATGCTAATCGCGAGCGACCGGTCGACCGATACAATACATTGTCGATAACTGTCGGACCGTGGACACAGTAGCGGTGTAGAAAAATACTTGGAAACGCTCCGTCGCGGAGAAAGATCAGATTAATGATGAATATGTTTAACCTCGGGTTACGCACGGGGATAATCAGCGAAACGATAAACGATCCCGAGGCGATAACGTCAAGCTGGAAAAAAAGATTTCTGCGATCTGCGAACGACGGGCGCAACGATCAATCGTCGAGTATTCAATTTCGATTGTTCTCTTTCGCAGTCATCGGCGGCGGATAAATCGTCAAGTTTGGTAAGAGTAGAAACGCGACGTTACTCCGACCGAGTCTATTCCCTTCGCGCTCCCCTCCCCCGATAAAGTTCGTCATTTCGTAATTTAACGCGAAACGGAACTCGAGGAAGCTCGATCGCGAGCGAACGAACGAACGAAGCCGGGCGCTCTCCCTCGAAGAACGCGGCGGGGGTTTTCCGTTGTTTACTTTGCAAGGGGCGGCGATAAGTCCCGCGAAATCGAATTCGAAAGATGTAGACGAGAGACGTATTCGCTCGTCGTCTCCGGTCTCTCTCGCTCCGCGTGTTTCGGAGGCCGGCGGAGGTCCGCTTATTTGTTTAACTAAAATCCTCGGCGCTGTCCACCAGCCACGCTTTCTCGTATTCTGGATCGATACCGGACGACTAACGATCGGCCCTCGCGGTGGAGTGGCGCGTGCGACGGACGGAAATCCACGTAGGAGACGGACGCCTGTTGACACAAGTCGCACGGAGAACGCGCGCATTGTTGGCCGACGGGCGGTATGCACGACGTGCCTTTTGTGGACACTGAAACGCGAGACTCGCGCGCGCGGCGCTCTGGACATCCAAATGGATCCACGAGTACCGAAAGCTCCGCGCACTTTTCGGAGAGAGACACTTCCGATCGTGCCTCGCGTCTCCTCCCCGAGCCGTTTAAAAACGACTTCCCCGTGTGAGACGTCCGTGTTCTCTTTTCACGATAATTTTTACACATTTCGGAAAACAATCGTTTCTTCCCGGATTTCTTCGCGGACGTCCGATTCGAAGCTTTGGTTTTATATTAAACCTTTAGTTCTACAACGTAGTAGGAATTAAAATAGTAAAATAGATTGAACTTCGATTCTAATAATATAATATCGTCCTTACTTTGACCCTGACGATGTATAAAATTTCCGTTTTCGCTGTTTCAGCGTCAAAATAGGTTGTTGGAGGTAGCATTGAAATTTAATCTGTAGAATTAGGGGTTCAAGGAAGAAGTTTAAATGTGTCATATTGTCAAGGTAGATTTTTTATTAGGAGACTCCTCTTCTCCTTAGAAAAATTCACGTATGTTCGATCAAAACCAGCCGCGCTTACTTTTATCCGTGAAGAAGCTAAGACTATATTTTTCACTTTTACTCACACTCGCAAATCCAAGAAAAAGGGAAAAGATCGATGATCAGAGAAGACGAGCGGCGGGGCGGGGGATAAAAATTCGATTTTCGTGGAGGAGAGATTCTCACCGCCGGGATTAAAGTCGGGCATTCTTAAAGAGAGTCAGCAGTGCGCGAGATATTTTAGGTCGTCGTTGTCCGTGTAGCGTTACACTCGAAGACGATCGAAAGCCGACGAGAGAAACCCGGCGGGCTCTCGTTACCAATTAACGACGGAGCACTCTTTCGTCGACTTTGTAACGAGAGACTGACTGACACTCTCGTCGATCCCTAAATGGAGCTGAGATATCCATGATTCCGCCGTTGTAGCGATAAAAGTGCGGGGGACGTGATTCTCACAAGGCGGAAGGAATAGCGACGACCGGCTCATGCGAAGGATAGGTTTTCATCCCGACACCACGAGAGAGCACACGAGTCTGCCCTCTTTCTTCCTCTCGTCCTTTCTCTATCTCCCAGATTGCTCTCTCGTCGCTTCCGGCATTCGCGCACGAGACACACGGCGCGAGATCTCGATGAATATCCGATAACGTTATAACTCCACGCGCGAATCCTCAGCAGCGGCCTTAAGACGACGAGAGAGAGAGAGAGAGAAAGGAAATTTCACTCGTCCATCGTGACTAAATAACAGGTGTGGATCATTCGCGGTTAGACGTCCGACATTGACATTGATTTCCATATTAACGATCGTCGTCAGGCAGAACGTGTCTCTCTCTCTCCCTTTGCAGGTAGGCGCGTATTCTGCGCGCGAGGCTACCAGCGAGGCTCCGATAAATACGAGGCCCCTCGAAACTCATTTGACAGGCTGACGGAGAACGAATGTTTGCATTCGATAACTCGGTAGCGTTTGACAGATAGACCAACTGTCCGAGGCGCAATCCATCGAAGCGGCCGCTGAATTAATCGATATGTAGACGAGCCGTGCGCGCGGAGGCTTCTCTCTTTCTCTCTCTCTCTCACCCCGCGACGAGCATGTAAATGGATGTAGCGCTAACGAAATATATTTTCTCCATCACGCGGGGAATGCGCGCGAGGAGTTTGTCGTTGGGCGAACCGGGACGGAGCCGCGTCCCGACGTCGGAAATTACCATCTTCGGCGGCATTCTTCTCATCGAAATGCAGCACCGTCTGCGAGACTCGAAACCGGAATCGATGCAACTCCGATAATATTCGCGACACTTTCGACGCATTCGTCGGCGATACGTTCGACGACAGCTCGTGTTTCGCGCAATGCACGAGTCTGGGATCGTCCCTTGGCGATGCGAGAGAATCGCCGAGACGACTCGGCGTGTGTCGACATTGGGCAGCGTTACTCGAGTTCTGCCGCTTTGCACGGCGATACGAGCTACTTAGTTGGCTTTGTCGGAATGCGGGAAGAATTTCGCGGTGACCTATTTGAACCCATCGGTAAGGGACACCCATTCGTATCGAAATTCGAGAATTCGGACATTCCTCGTGTGAAAAACGAGCCGAGCAACCTGCCGACTATCTGCGCGCGTGTCTTGTTTACAGTCACTTTGACGCCCCCTCCTCTCTCTCTCTGCGTTTTCAGAAGAAAATGCCACTGTGTCAAGCATAACCGTCTTCTTTTCAACCGACTTCCTCTCGAGATCGTCTACTCGCAACTTGCGGTATTCTCCCATCGCGAATTTCCTATCGTCTCTCGTGCGTTACATAATCTTTTCGGTAGTCGCGGTGGACACGTTTTTACAGCAACGCGATGGAAAGTCACGATTAACGAGGAACAGCAGGCAATTCGGCGCGTTAAACGCGAATACATGCACGCAATAACGGTCGTTCTCCTCACTCGTGTACGATCTACGACGTTCCAGAGGGATATCTTGGTCACCCGCAAACACAAGGAGATCCTCGCGTGGATTAAAGTGAAGAAATAAGAGAGGAAAAAAAAGGCGAGAAGAGGTAAATCGTTGTTTTCAGTAGGCAGTTATATCGAGGATCCCTCGGGAACGTCCGAGGACGGCGGCACTCTGCGTCGTCCTCTAAATCCGCGAGGCAAGAAGAAGAAGAAACTCGCCGCTGTAGTACTCACTGGCGAAGCGCGGGTCGTTGGTGGCCGGTGGCGCCGGTGCGTACCAGGGGTGATGGTGCGACGATACCGCGTGGGAGCGCATCGGGTCCGTGGCGGTGGCCGTGGCGCCGACGCCGGGCCCGGCGTGATGGTACGGCGAGAGTTCCGCGGCGCAGTATTGGTACTGCGACGTGAGCTGCATGGTGGCGTAAGGATTGCCCATGGCGCTCATGCCGCCGCTGGTACCGCCGACACTGCCGCCGCCGCCGGGGGCGGCCCCGTTGGCCACGGAAACCGGTCCGGGGGTGCTGCCGCCGGGCGTCGAGCCGCCGTGCAGCGGCGGGCTGCCGCTGCTCGCGCTCGAGCTGCCGGTGTTACCACCTACCCGAGCGCCGCAAGCGTTCCCGTACGGCGAGCCCTGGGGATGCGTGACGACGCCGACGGCGGCGGCCGCGGCGGCGAGCTCGAGCTTCCTGTAGGACTCCTCGATCGGCGACAGGATGTCGGTGACGCTGAACGGGGTCGTGTGGGCACCGGCGGCTTGGACGTGGGACGAGTGCTGCTTCGGCGACAGGCTCATCGCCAGGTCGATGCCATTGAGGTCCGACAGCAGGCCGGCCTGTTCCAGCTGCGACTGTTGTTGCTGTTGCTGCTGCTGGTGCTGGTGATAGCCGCCGGTGGCATTGCCGCCGTTGCCCTGGTTGCCGCCGCCGTTTCCGCCGCCGCCGCTGCCGCCGCTCATCTCGGCGAGGCCGACGCCGTCGAAGTACTTGAAGCTCGCGCTTCGCGGAATGATGAGGCCGGCGCTAGCCGTGGCAACGGCGCGACAACAACATTCCGACGCTAGTGCGACGACGTCCGTACACTCACCACCGCTCGGCGAGATCGCGTTAACGTTCACTCCGTCCGCTCGGTACCGCAGTATCACTCGGATCGTACGTAATCGACGAGCGTGAGACACAAGTCGGTGAGAATATTTCCCTTTCACGTGCACCGGAGCTGCTCGCGATCACCCGCCTCCAGCCAGTAATCGTCCGCTGCTCTCATTCCGCGCTCTCGACGACGCTCGGACGCGCGCATAGCTCCCTCCGACCGCTCTTTATCTGTCACTGCACGCGCCTTCCGGCTCGCCGTCCAGGCGCTTCGCACTCATCTTCGCGCGAGCGGAAGAATCGCGCGTTTCACACCACGTAGTCCGCACGCACGACGCAGCGCGAGGTCGCAGGGGTTCGTCGCGCGCGGCACCCACGGCGGCGACCTTACACACGTGGTCGAGGACAGTGGCCGGCCAGAGCCGGCCGACTGAAATCACTCTCGGGGGGTCTTCGAGTCCTTGGATGCCGCCGATAGAGAGACGATGGTAAATGTACCACTCTATACGCTTCGCCTCCACCTTCGTCGAGGATACACTCTCTCTCCGTAGGAGAGGAGCCTCTCTCTACGGATGGATGGATGGATGGCTGGATGGATGGCTGGCTGGCTGGCTGGCTAGCTGGCTGGTTCGGCTGGCTTGCTTGCTTGCTGGCTGGCTGGTTGGGTGGCTGCCTGCCTTGCTGGCTGGATGGATGGATGAATGAATGGAGAGGACTTCTGTCGGGTACTCCTGGAGAGGTCCTCACGGCCGCTTAGACCCACTCGACCAGCGCTCGCCCGCTCGCGCTCGCTCGTTCACTCGCTCGCTCGCTTGCTCGCTCGCCCGCCCGGGCACAGGCCCCACAGCCTCTCGCGGAGAACCCGTACGACGACACGATGAGTGGAGTGCCCACTACGGAGAAGTGCCTGCTACCAAGAGTCGTGATGAGATGTCCCCTTTTGCGTGTGAGAGAAGGGTTTCCATACGCCGCGGAGAGGCGGAGGAGAGGCCGCGATAGCGGGAGAAGTGGAGAGACGCCGAGGCCTCCGTACGGCCATTGGGCGAGTCTCGCCAATCGAGCGGCGCGACCGTGCCGACTCGTCGCCGATTGGCGCGGCGCATCGCCGCCGCCGATCGACGGAGTTGGCTGCCGCCGTTGCCCGGCGACCCGGTTGGAGCCCGCTGCACCGAGACGGAGCGTAGCGACCTATCGAAACGGCCGCGAGATCGCACCGCGAGGCCGTAGCGGCCGCTACGTGGAGACCCGGCCCTGCCCGGAGACCGCCCATCCGGCACCATCCTCGCTGCCGGATCCAGCGATGGAAGGACGGTCCGGAGGGCGGGGAAAAACCGCCGGGAGAAAAATGTTGGCCGGCACACACGCGCCGAAATTCTCGCCGTGGCTCGTCACCGAGCGACGGTACCTACTTTTCGATCTGTGTCTTCAGCTGTCACGTCGCCGGCTATCGCCGGCGAATACGCACGAATCCGTATCTCACGAGTCCTGGCTTTAGCTCTGAGTCTCCGTTTCCGCTGTCGTCGCCGCGCTGCTCCGCCGCTGCAGACGTACAGGATCCTCGTACATTCTCTCGGGACTCTCCGTCGCCGTCGTCTTCCGCGGCGAACGCGTGCGAATTCGGACGTTACGTTCAGTGATATTGATTCGATGAGTTGCCACGTGGTGGGTGATTCTGGCATTTGGGTCCATAGTGTGTCCAGTAGCGTAGCCGGTTGAGCGCCGCGTTGGTGAAGATACTTACTGGTGTAAACGTCGCGAATCGAATGTCCCCGACGATGTGCCTGCGCAGAATATTGTCTTAATGTCGCTCATTCGAGCGTTCTCGAAATCAAGCGGCTAAAATCTAAGCGGCGGGGGAGCCGATATTTGCGCTCACCTGTCTCGCAACCTCCTCCGTACGCGATCGACGGCTAGAAGGTCGCGACGATCCTTCACTCTGAGTCTCGGAGAAATCGCGTAGTCGTGTCCTTTCGTCCGTTCCGAAATGCACAGAAGAGAAACATATCGCGGTCTTTTCGCTGCTGACTTTACGCTCGCACCCTGACAGCCGCAGCTCGGTTCGTCAGCCACGGTTTTGATTGTGTACAGACTTATTCAACTGCGAAATCATAAGAAAGGCATGAAATAAACGCTTCGTAACGTTCAAGCGCACAATTTGACACTCACCGGCCCTGGTCCAGACATTTTTGGGTGGAATGCACGTGTGCTCGGATATTAGAATTCGCGTATTATAACGCGGCGTTGGCTGTGAAAACGTTTAAACCTAAACCGGAAGAAGTTAATAATACTTCGACCTTTATTAGGCATAGAACCACTAAGAGTTTCCGATCACACGTGTGTAATTCGTTTCACGGTTTGAATAATTTCTTTTTCGGTGCATTTCGAATCACACCCGACATCCAGTAAGAAATTCTCCCATTGGACGTCGGAGTGCGTTCCGGGGTGCGTCGAGAAAAAAGTGCCGCTTTGCATATTCGTGACTATTAATTATTGTTGAGAAAATCGCTCGAGAATATTTTAAAGAGGTGGTTGTAAGGCGAAATGAGTATGATAAAAATTTGGTGAATTTACACTACATATATTTACTTCAATTACATTTCAAATTAACATTTATTATTTAGGCAGTGAAATTAACGTATAAGAACGTAATTTTGCTTGACAAATATTAAGTTTATGAGTGGCCCCCTTGACGCGCTACGAAAATGCAATATTGAGAAGCCTTATAACCTCTTTGAATGTTACTTCTTGTGATTTTATTAACATTACAAATGGTACTCTGTTCAGTGGCGGATTTCTACAGAAATCAGTGATGCTGGAGCATCAGAGCTCCTATCAGAAGGGAGACCCAACCCTCTCCCCCTTTTATTTTCTTATAAGCAGTTAGGAAAGAGGTCCTCAAAATAGTGTTAGCATTAGACCCCGGAAAGTTATCATCCATCATTGACATCATTGACATCCATCATATTGATATAATCGTTGTTTTGCACATGGAATGGGCGGTAGCGAAAAGAAAATCACGAAAAGACCATTAAAATTTAACGAAAATCATACCGACTTGTTTCTTGCGCAACACCGACAGCAATGTGTTTAAGTTACGGTAACGCGCTTCTTTTTAAAAATAACTTACCTAACCTTGATATAAAATAACGTCTTTAGAAGGGGACTCAGGAAGGAATTTGAGTGACTGCGTTCGTATCAAACTAAATATTGAAGAATGAGGATTGCGGATTAGAGATTAGAATACGATGAGCCAACTAATTTCAATCTTCGCTCGCTTTGTCCCGATCGATCCAGTTCCAATCTTCAACTCGTGATCCTCCTCAATGTTGCTGGTTCGAGAGAAACTCGAATTCTTAGGAGTCTTTTTTTGACGCGCCCTCTGAAGAAGTGGATGTAAAACTCATCAATTACATTCATTTGTCGGCTCTGTCGGTAAAGTAGGTTGCTTTGTCCGTGTCTGCATAACGAGCAATAAGATAAAAAATGAAAACTGCTAATTTCACGAGGTTTAACGTATACAAAAATGTCATTGCTTATTAACTCCTTAACGGTAAATTTTATGTCAAAACAGTGTAAATGATAACCGTAAAGATACAATTTTACAGAAACCTATATTTCGTCGTAAATTTGTACGCATACACATGAAACATTGAAAAAATTGTAAATTGTAAAATTAATATTTTTTTATACATTAATAAACTAAATGTCCAAATATTCTTACCTGTTGGTGCTCTGATTATTTTCACGTGACAGCATAAAACCGGTAGTCCAGTTTTTTTTAGGTTTACATGAAGCAGAATACTAATTTATAAAGAATCATATCTTACTATTTACTGAAATTTAATAATTTGCTAATTATTACAATCTGTTTCTTATTTGCAGAAAAATATTAACAAATATATACACGTCCCTGAATATGAATAGAAATTGAAATGATAAGACTGTATATTCATTTGATTAAAACGCAACATTTATATCCATGATTTCTTCCTAAATATGAATGCTGCTTCACGTGACACGAAAAACGACACAGATTCGTCGCGAGAGTTGCAGAGTTGCCAGTTATCAGTAATTCTCTTAAAATATTACTTTAATCCGCCGCGTCGCTGTCTATTATTATGTGGAGCGTGCCAATCGCATGCCAATTACGCGACTTCAATGGCCGAGTGAGCGTTGCTGTCGCTGAGTTGTTACTGATGTTATTAAATTGGCACAAGAGGAGCAAATATGATAGGCAAACAAAATCAGCCGGCTGACGATGAAGACAATCAGTCGCGGATAAAATTGATAGCGGACAAGCGGAGGTCATTGGAGGAGAGATCCGCTCAGGTATCGCACACTTGTTATCACTCTCAATGTTGTTATTTTACGTGGATGTAAGCTTACCTCTGATTCTACTTCAGTCAGTCAGCCTCGCTAAGTTTGTTATTTTTCGCTGCGTACCAGGCCTCATGTATGCCAATCAAACGTTACAGATAGAGTTATACGATTTCTAACCCTACACATTAATATGTAAGGTTAAAAATTGAGCTTCTCAACAGTCGCATTGCTCAACTCCACTCTTTTATGAATTTTTAATTTCTTCTGGAAACCTATTCTTTAATTAACACTTGTACTTGTATTGGCTTGTAATTGTCTCGTAGAAATCTCCTCCAGAGCAATGAATGAATCATCATCTTTGATATTGACAAAATAAATCGTCAAATGTCAACAGTAATTCAGTACGTTTCACATGCAAGTCTCATTTTCTTGTTCTATTTTTTTCGTTATGACATCACTTTATTAAAATACAACAGCAACCACCGTTATGCAAAATATTTACAACAGTAATGGAATGCAAATTGTACTTAAAAATTAAAATCGATGCAAATGAAAGAGGTGAATATGTTACACCGCATTTTTAGAAGCAAGTTAGATACATTTTTGCATTCAAACACGCATTATTTTTACATACTAATAGCAAGATAAATTTTTGCGTTATCAGTGGTGAATTCTGATAGGTTTCCCGGAATGAAACATCAATGCTACCGTTGCTTGAAATATTCCTCATACTTGTGACATCACCAACCATCAGATAAAGGAATATAATTCTTAGATTCAGGCAGAGATTAGGAGCTGCTTCAAGGAACTGGCAGAAGCCCTACGATCCAGGGAGAGGCAATTGCTGCGCCAAGCCGAAGCTATTCACCGACAGCAACTCTCACTGGTCGAAACATCACTGGACTTCCTGCCGTCGTCGACAGCCGTCCTGAATGGTGGGAGCGAACTGGAGGAGCAGATACGTCGTTTCGGCAATGTCGAGGTGCACGGAGCGAACGGTATCACGGTGAAGGACGTGGAGCCGTACAAGGTCGCGGATTATCAGGACGCCAACAAGGACCACGTCAGTTTCGACAAGTCGATCACATGCCAGAAGATCCGGGACCGCTTGAGCCTGCCGCGCTGCAAGGATTTCGTCTCCGACTACAAGACATCACTGCGCATCTCCAGCTTGCCACCCGCTTTTCTCATCGAGGATCATCGGCGGAGTCGAGACGCGCGGAACACGAGAGACAACAACGCACTGATGCGTCTCAACGACGCCCTGTGCTCGCCGCTTCTGATCATAAAACGCAAGCTCGGCCTGACCCACGTTTCCTTGGATGGCCTGCACGCTTTCGACAGAGCGTATCCGCGGAGCGTGCGGTCTTTCGAGATGTCCCCCGACCTGTGCGAGCTACAGGACCTGACGAACGAAACGGCGGAGGATGATTTGCAAGAGCTCGACAAGGAGGTCTCGAAGAGCCGAGACGATGCTGAAGTGATCATCGAATACCCGAAGAAGCGGGAGAAGAGCCACGAGCATCCGATGCAGGTGCAGCAGTGGCTGCGGCAGATCCTCGCGGAGACCGAGATAGAGCCCGCGATTCACGAAGTCGGACAGTTTTCGGAGATATCGAGCGTGAAACTTTGCAACGAGCTGTAATAACAGCAGATCTTGCTATTCACGTCTCGGCGTTTCGTTTGGGGGCCAAAGTTTCCAAAGCTAATGGAAAGCAAAACCGAGAAGGCTGATCTACCTTACATCATCTTAGACTTACATACCGGATACTCTTAGTTGATACGACCTATGGCGTAAGGTCATTCGAAAAAACGATGATATTCCTATGACGTCGTGGCCTTTCCGTAATCGAAGAAAAACGTGAAAAGGTACGTCGAAATACGTACGGGGAAAAGAGAGAAATAGAGAGAGAGAGAGAGTACAAGAAAAGAATTTATTGTGCACATCGAACGCGATAAACTTCAGTATCTCGGCGGCAGATGCTCATCACGGTATTCTTTGCTTCATATAAGAAACGTGTTCATCGTCCTCGAAATATCGAAATATCGAACAGGTCGATCAGTGCCCTTTTAGCGAAAAGTATCGCTTAAAATGTCCGAATTATACAATTTATAAGGCTGTTTGTTCTATTAAAAAAAATCGCGTATTTATTATATCGTAGATATAAGTTTTTTTTTTTCAGTTTATACCGCAGGCTAACGGCCTTTACGTAATTGATCATTGTCAGTCGAGTGTGGTGGAATTCAACGTACGTTGCTATATCGTTCCACAAAGCTCGACAGTGGATAAAAGCACAATGACGCACACACACACACACATACACACGCGCACGCACGCGACAGCTTTTTCCCGAGGGATGAAATTGACGACTGTACATTGTTGTAAATAATCGAACGATCTAATTCATTGTTACGTCATAATTCCGACTCTTTCTCCGCACTTACGTGATTAGATTGTGCGTACGCTCATCGATCATATTATAATCGATTGATTCGAGTGCTCGGTTATCGAGAACATATATAAAAGCTCCGACAATTACCCATAATGAACGGGAGCAATCTAGGCTTCTCTTTGTATATTTCACCGTTACTCATCCGCTTCCGTATTTACGTTACCGATTTACGTTACGTTGAGAGCGTGCTTCCGTATTTAATCGTTTTTAATACTGTCAGGAGAGATGAGGTCTTTAATAAATTAATATCGTTTGTATAAGATCGCACAGGGAATTGAGAGATGTATGTGCGTGTGTGACTTGGAGATATCCGTCGTTGTTTTAAAATTAACTCACATTGCTTTGTATGCCCACATGGGATTTATTTATTGTTGGTTTCATCTTTTCTTAACCCTAAACCGTATAAGTGCGACACATGATCTCTGACATTAATACGGTGTGAAGTGTGTGTCTTTATAAGATTTATCTAAAGAGAGATATTCCATCATCGAAAGTTTCCTTCGAGCGGATCACCGAACACTGAAGTTCATTTCGTGACGTTTCACATTAGAACGATGAGTTTATTGGTATAATATTGAGAGATTTCGTTACAATTAAAGTTCGTATATAAATTTAGTATACCGATATGTACGCGTTAGAATGTTTTATACTGTTTAGGGTTAATCGAGTGCGTGTATATATACGGGTGTATGTTCATTTGTCGATCGCTTCGTCGATTGTTCAAATCAGAGGAAAGAACCGCGTTTGCTAGAAAAATAATTTATCCTGACAAAATTCTCGTCGTCCTTACATCGAGCCTTACAATACAGAATATATGTACGTATATGCGACATACGTATGTACATCGCATAGGTATCTCGATACACGAGCTACCGCAGACAGGCAGATCGGCTGTGACACGCGCCAAGTAACGTCACGGGTGTATCATTATTGCTGTTAATCCTTTTACTGGCAAAACGAAGAGAACGACTTTGAGTATAAAGCGATTGAAATCACGAACAGTCCGTAAACCCAGTTGTACGGTAAACCCAGTGTTGCACTGGAAAGGGAACGTCCCAGTGCAACGCTGCGGTAAATATAATTCAGTAATTCAGAAGCACTGATAAAGGATCAACAACAAAACCGATCTCCTCAGCGCGCGGTCGGATACAAAAAGGAACAAATCTTGAAATACTAAATCTCTTTCGTCTCGTCTACTTTCGAAGGAAAGAAAACGAATGAAATCAGCACCTTTGTGTATAGTATACTTCACGCAACGATTAATTGAAACAATACGACTTTTGCAAAGTACATTTTGCAAACAGTACGATATTGAGATAGCGATGGAGGAAGTCGAATTTTACAGCAATTCGTAAAACACAAAAAGTGATGCTGGTCGCACCTGACGGATAAGATTTTGAAATAAATGCATAATTCGTGTCAATAATTGTAAAATTAATCCTACCTGAAAAAGTAGAATAATGAATTATGAGCTTCGCCATCTTTGTGCTGATAAGCATTAAAATTTTTATTACTTAGTTACGCTATTACTCTTGTATTATCGAAAAAAAAAAAAATACTTGTTCACCTACGAAGAAACATATCTCCGATAGATGTAAACGGAGCAACAGCTTTTGAAACTTATCATTATATCGACAGTGTTCCGCGTGTTCAAATTGAATTCACTGAATTCAAGTGGCATTTGTCACGAGACTATCCTCTTAGTCCCCGAAATAAAAGAAAATGTTTGTTTATGTAGAGACTGCTTTTATACTACACGAGATAAAGTATTTCTACTATTATCAGAGTGCCCGTTACTTTGTCCTCCAGCACTGTCGTTATTTTGTCATCAGGTCGATCATGGAAAGAGAGAGAGAGAAAAAAAACAGATTCTCTCGAAAATGTAACGGAAGGAAATGCGCGACTGATCCAGTTATTGTGTTACAAAAGAATGAATTAGATCAATATGATAGTTTGATTCGCCTCGCTCAGGAACTAATTTCGTTAATTAAGAAGGCTAAACTAGGGAGTAGCTTGGGTCATAAGAGAGGCAGCAGGCTGTGAGGAGGCTGCTTTGGCGTGGTCCTCCAGGTCCTGCCCGAACTCCATCCTTTACTCCATCATTTCGGTGAGACTTGGTAGAAAATCCAGTCCTCGAAGAAGGATGGGACGAAGGCGCGATCCTTCGTGAACGTCACGGGCACGCACAGTTGCGACAGGACATCCTCGTACATTTTCAAGGATTCTGGGCAAGATGCGCCGTTTCCCTGTGTCCGCAGAGCACGTACACATAAGTACCATACACAGGTTTCTCGTAGCTAGATTTAGTTATTGAAATCTCCTAGTAACCTCCGGCTAATCGCTTTACGTATTGTTCGCAGTCAAATTAGAGGCACTTTCGAATAACAACGGAATACTTACGTGCGTCATGTACTTGCCGGTGGGCTTCAATACTTTCATGGAGGAGTTGAGAATTAATCTAATGAAATCCCAGGCATCACCGTGCGGCGTTGTACTAATAGGAATGTCCGTCAGATCGCCGAAGACGTAATCGAATCTACGGCCTTCCGCGATCATATGCGCCAATGCTTTCACGCAATCGCCGACTATGATCTGTAAAGTGTCAATCACATTTATGAGCTTGAGATCTCGAGAATCGGCGGAACCACAAACCCCTCCTATCCAGTGATTTAAGACTCGGCTCTCTTGGGCAGCTATATTGGTTTTATGACGTCATAAGCGAGAAATTACGTGCAGTAAGTTTTTCGCATTATATAACTACTTTTGAACGACGCTATATTCTTGTATTATCGAGAGAAAATATCTGTTCGCCGTATATTTTACAGGTTTTAGGATTATGAAACTATTATGTTTTTCAGGAAAAAACAACAAAATAAAGTTATACAACGCGCAAAAAATCTACTGCATGCCCCGTCTATGACATTATAAAACCAATATAATTAAGAGGGCTAAGTCTTGAGAATTCGGATTGAAATTATCGAATTCATAAGAGAAAGAGGGAAAGGGAGGGAATCGTCTGAGAATTTTCCAAGGTCTGAAATGCAATTCACCATTTGAAGATACAAAATTATAAGCCTCACCTCGTAATTGTCGCCCTTTCTTTTGTCCAGGCAGTCGCCACATATGCTTCTCATGTGCTGACTGCAAGCTTTCATCACGATGTCGTCGATCTGCGCGAAGAGATGCAAGAACCGAATACGTTACACCGTTATACAGTTCCAGTAAAGCTTACAAGTTAAAGTAATTCACGTACTTCCAACATCGTGATAAACTTCGGCTTCTCCTTCAGCAATTCCCACAACAAGCCGCCGTCACCGCCGCCGAGTATGACTATGTCCTTGCCTGCATAGTTCTCCTTGCCGCGCTGCATCAGCGTCTCTGTGTATATGAGATCTGCCTCGGACATGTCTGCGGAGAGACACACAGCCGGTGAGTTACCGAATCAACCGGATACAATCGATACGTTATATACACGCTGCTTACTCTGTAGCTCGTCCAGCACCAGCAAATTGCCCAGCGACTTGGAGTGCACGATTTGCACCTTCTGGTACGGCGATCTAGCCTCGAACACGAGCTTGTCGATGTCATACTCGAGCAGCCGTTCGTCTTGAACATAGGGCAATCTTTATTGGCAATACTTGCCACCGGTCCGCGATAACGTTAACTTTTAAGGCATGCTTTGATTGATACATATAGAATACACTGCGAAGAATAATAATGAAAAGAAACAGAGGGGGGGGGAAGTATCGCAAGGCAAAGCTGATAAAACACGCATGGGAACGTTAGCATCATAACCAGACGGAAAAGAAATGATGTGGAGGTAATTGAAAGATGCTATTTCAAACTGAACGCATCGTCATGCAAGAACAAGACACACGATGTCCTCGGGTTTAACGCGCGGAGAGAGACACGATGGACGTGTTCCTTGAACTTGAACCGAGCCAAGCACTGATTCTCACGTGTGGACATTACCGGCGAGAAAGAGGTGTCTAGAATCAGAAATCGCCAAGCCTAAAACTTCACAAAAGTTTCGAGTAAAAATTATACATTCCGAGATCAGTCTCAAACGGTGTGTGTGTGTGGCTTGATGAGTTTTGATCTTAAACGCCTCGAATGTTCAACACTCTTAAGACGCTGCCTGTTCGCACAACGTATCTTTTTTTTTTCTTTCTTTTCTTTTCGGTTCTTTTCTTTTGTATAATTTCGACTTCTTTTTGTAAGAGAGGCGTGAGGACATCTATAAGTTACGAACATTCAAGAATCGATGTATAATACTATGGGTCTTTTTTTTTTTCGATTAGACTGAGCCCTTCAAGTGTACAAGCAGTTTGCCTCGTAAAAACGGCCACGTTAGCTGGTCCGTAAACATAATTATAAATAAAAACTCACCGGCGGTAGGATAGTATCTCTCAAAGGGTCCACCGCGTTTAATCGGGGTAAGCGTGTGCGACCGTGTAGCAGTTGCCGCTGCCTGCAACGCCGTCTCCAATTCTTTTGCCAACTATCACGACCGGTCATCATCACCATCGTCATCACCGTCATCATGATTATCATTTATCATCATCATCATTATGATCGTCCGTCATGATTATTATCATCCGTCATTACATTTATCATCGATCGTCGATCGTCGGTCATTATCATCATTATCATCATCATTATTATCATCATCATCATCATCACCATCATCATCATCATCATCAAGCCGAACCAACGAATGAACAGAACAAAGGCACTATCTTGTAAAACGGAATCGCTACACTCCTTGCTGTTAAGGAAGCTAAAAAAAGGTGTCGAGATCTGGCAAGCCATGATATATGGCAAGGGCTTATTTTTCGTCCAACAAAATGATACCGTAACAAGCGGTAAATAAAAACGTAGTAATATAAAAACGATAAAAAGATAATTGTGTCTGTATATGTATGTATGTGGATGACCCTATTATTGAGCCGTACGACTAAAAGTGTGACGACCTGAAGACAATGTAGGTCTAAGGATCTGACGATCTCGGCATCTTATGGTTCACGGATATAAAATTGAGAAAGATGAACCGTAGAACAATCTCTCCCCCTCTCTCTCTCTCTCTCTCTCTCTCTCTCTCTCTGATTGTAAATTGAGTTTAAAATCTCTTAAATCGTCTCACGACAGTAAGTGTGGGGGAATAAGAAGGCTCTGAGTGTGATCATAGTAAATTGACACAAGCGCAATGGAATTTAAAGCTAAACGCAATTTAAAAACGGGTGCGTACAAACACATTGAACATTATCAAAGAGCCTTAAACATTATCGTTAAAAATGCTAGACATTTTAGAGCCCACTGTGCACATCCTGGATGATTTAGAAAAGTTGCTTGTATGTTCATGGCAATTTCTTTTTATTGCCTCTCGATACCGAAACTATCTCTCAAGAGTGAATGTGTCTGACATTGACACGTTGAGTAATATACTTGGAAACTTTTACTCGTACAGCCAGAAAAGGCAAGAGAACAATTGTAGACATAAAAGTATATATATATATGTATATATATATATGCTTGAATATTATGTATTTAAATAAATATTTAAAATCTTTTTATGAACAAGTGCTGGATAGAAAATCTGGGCTGAAAACGTAACAGTGCTGGGAGAAAATTAAGTCAGCATTCCTGGCAAGCGGCCTACCCTAAATATCTATTAGTGACAGTCAATAGCGTTTGTAACTCTATGCCAAATATTCCACGATATAAATCTACAAGTATGTAAATATATGTAGATATGTGTTAGGAGAAGTAAACGAGGAACAAAATCTAATTGAGGGAAAGCATTTTTTCTACCTGATAGCGTCAGATAGAGGTCATATATGGTTCCTCGTCTTACTGGCGGTAAACGCTTGCTGCGCTGGCTGTTCAAAGCCATGGCAACATCAGCTTCCAAGTATCGCCACTGCTACAACGTTCTGTCAGTTATGCCATTTTCTCGCTTCCGTTATAAAAAAAAATGCCTATATTCTATTGCTTCGTGTATTGAATTTAACAATTAAGTTTGATCCCCGCAAAGATCGATTCGTTCGACAATTGTTCGAGAAATTTGTTAAGAATCTCTAATGAGAAATGTGTTTCCTATTTTTTGCTCTTTCTCTCTAACGTATCGGCAACCTATTCCTACGATTCGCTTCCTATCTTTTCTTTCTTTTCCTCCCTTTATATATTCCTAAAGAGATTTTAATAATTATGAAACCTTCTAGTTTAGGAAACTTTTAGTCTAGGAGAGCATGTCAAGCTTTTCGTTGGTGTTTGTTTTGGTTGTTGCGAAAAAAAAAAAAAAGAGAAAAAATAGATATTTTCTGTTGCTAGGCGAATTAATCTATTAACTTGGAGCATCCTACCTCGAAAGTCAGAAGTGCCTCTTCGTCGTCCTGTTTGTAATACTCGATGTTTAAGGTAATCAGACCTTCCGTGTATCCTCTGACAGTGATCAGACTGCCCCTGGGCCCAGTGTATAAAACGAGCAAACTGCCATCAATACTGGATTCTGTCAATGGCTTGAGACCAGTGAAATGCTCCGCCAGTACATTGGAAATTGCCGATTTCAGGTTTGATCGCTTCTCTACATCGGCGATCATACTACCAGACACTGTAAAGTCCAGAAGTACTGTGTGGGCCACCATGGTTTCTGCAAAATATCGATATATTCACTCTCTTTTACTTGTGTAACACATTCAAATTATGTTGCAGGCATTGTCAATAAGCCTTATCTTGTGTATCTAATTGTAGGTGTGCAGGTATCTTATCTAATTGCAGGTGTGCAGATATCTTATCTTATCACGAAGGTGCATAGGCTCGCAAGAACTGTATCGAATGCTCCTAACGTGACGTGCAAATTGTGTTTGGTTACATCTTCCTTATATATTATATCCATTCTCAATATTAACACTAACATTACAACAATGTTATAATTCCCTACTCGATGATGTAGCTGTTATATACAACGTAAGTTATCTGTGCATTTACATTGTCGAGCGTGCAATTATAATATTGATGTATAATAATTAATGTTATTGTTAATTGGTGTTTACTGGGCATTCTGATGGAATGCAAAGTAATGTTTACATGCAGATGACGAATCGTGAAAATTTCATCGGATTCAGATTCGGATACCAATGGCATGCGATAATAATCCTTGCGTTTATTAGAGAATAAATGAAAAGCGGTTTTAATGAATGAACAACGGCCGTGTCTGACACGTGTCCTGACGTCGAGTTCTTCTTTGCACATCAATAGCATCGTAAATATAGCTCCTCGAAATTGCAACAGTTACATGTTATAGTTAAAAAGGTCACGATGGCGTGAAACGTGTTTAATAGCGGTTATGCCCACAGAGCGAGAGAAAACATTACATAATTCTTCGGAAAATATTACGTAATTACTGTACCGCGGAAGGGATCGTGATAATTAATCGACCGGTCAAACGAACTATCGATGTACGATCGACGAGCCGGCGGTCATTCGTTTGTTTATACTCACTTATAATTATGCAATAATATTTATCACGCGACCAGCTCAGGTAAACGCTCGATTCCGCTCGACGTCGCCTCGATTGTCACTGCCAGCGGTAAGGAGCGATATATCGCTTCGCAGCGAGTGTTGCGATATCTCGGAATACAAATGAAGCGCTCATTCTGATTCTCAGCGAATGTCGAATGATTCAATATGGAAGCAGCTTTGCAACTGCTGTAAAATTCGTGAATTTGATTGGTGTACACTTTCATCTTGGTTGGAGAGCATATACCAATCAGATTGATAGAATTTTACAACAGTTGCAAAGCTCCTTTCTCTGTTGAACGCAATTATTGCATGAGTGCAATTTGAAATCAGACATTTGACACTAATGTACATTCAAAATTGGGTGCCAGGAAATATTTTCGAATTATTTCGGACAGGATACATGCTGGTACAGGGTACATGAGAACGGGTATTCGCAGTCGCCATGTTGGGCTATTTAATTTTGGCGACCGTTCAAATGATGTATATATGACAGTATTGGCAAATGGGCACAGCCAATGAAAATCTATATAGATGGCGAACTGAACAGTCGTCTGTAGCGGTACTATCGCGAAAAACATCGAAGTCGTCATTCTCATGTCTCTCTATGCCTTGGAATATCTTGCAAAATTTTCATCATTCATCATTGCTATTAGATCATTATGAAATGTCCAATTACCTCATGTACCAAGTTTGATACCCGATATATCTGATATTTTACTTTGACAGTTGTTTTTTGTTATTGTGAAGGTACATTGTCAGTCTTCCAGACGCACGTTTTGGTTTGTGATTATTTGTCTTTGAATTGTCTTTTGCAGATTAAATTTTGTAAACCATGAATAAGTAAAAAATTCGCGTTATTTTCGAATATGAGTTCCGTCGTGGAACTAATGCAGCGTAGACAACTCGAAGTGTCAACAAAGTGTTTGGCAAGAATGTGGCTAATGGACACACAGTGCATCGATGGTTTGAGAAGTTCCGATTTGGCGATTTTGATCTTTAAAATGAATCACGTGGGCGACCTGAGAGAAAGGTGGACAATGATGAACTGAAAGCTGCAGTGGAAGCGGATACATCTCAAACTACGCGTGAATTAGCAGCAAGGTTTAACGTTACTATTCCAACAATATTAAACTATTTGAAACAAATCGGTAAAGTTAAAAAGCTGAATGGATTCCACATGAATTAAACGAGCGTGAGAAGAGAAATCGTTTCGAAGCTTAACCTTTTTTGTTGTCCCGATATAAAGACAAATCATTTTTACACTGTATTGTTATTGTGTGATGAAAAATGGATTCTTTTCGACAATCGCAAGCGGTACAATGGTTGGATAAAGATAAAATGCCAAAACACATTCTGAAACCGAATATTCACCAAAAAAACTAACGGTGTCTGTTTGGTGGCCCAGCACTGGTGTTTTTCATTACAGTTTCATGAGACCTGGTCAATTGATTACGGCGGGTGTCTACTGTAACTAATTAGACGAAATGATAAGGGAGCTTAGGATTATGTAGCCGAGATTAGTAAAAAACTACAGGAGCTGGACTTGGGAACTCTCTCGGTCTGTTCGTTTTCGCTGCACCGCTGAACAATAAGTTGACGTGAGAAAACATATACTTGTCTCGCTTCAACTTATTGCACTAGTTCGGCGGTGCAGCGAAAACGAATAGACCTTCTGTCACCCACCGTATTCCCCAGATCTTGCACCAACTGATTACTATTTCTTCCAGGTATTGGACCACTTCTTACAAGGAAAAATATTTAATTCCCAATATGCTGTAGAAAACGCCTTTCGCAATTTTATTACCACTCGCTCTCCAGGCTTCTTCGCTGCCGGCATTAACAAGCTATCGTTAAGATGACAAAACTGTATCGATAGTTTAGGCGCATACTTTGATTAACATTATGCTGTCCGGGGTCACCACGTTGGTGTCCCACGAAAACTATCGCGCAAAGGCCGGTGACACCACATTGGTGTCGTGCGCAAAACTATCACGCAAAGGCCGGTGACAGCACTGTGGTGCCGTTTGTGTTCTGATTGTATACTGTTGGTGTTCTGTTCGTGTTCTGTTTAAGTAACAATAAGTTACAGACATAAGCGTGTTTTTTATTTTTATAAGTACTTGTGCCCTTTGATAATGGCAGACGTAAGAGAAGACACGGTTATTCGAGATGAATGCGCGGACAACTTGTCTGACGTTCCAATTGAATTTGATGATTGCGAAGAAGTGGAAGACATCTAAAAGAGAAATACTAAGTACCCAATAAAATATTAATAAATAAATATAAATATATAATACGAAAAAAATGTTACATTTATTTATATATATTCTCGAAATTTCGTGAAAATAGCGGGACAGGATTGAAAACTAATGAGAACTGACGATTTATGATCTCCTGAAAACCTCGAAAAACCGCCGGCGCCAAACAAAAAAATCCTGATGAAACGTGCGGACGGCAAAATGTTAATTATAATGCTTCTTGTTTGAGATATAATAAACCATACTTTCAGTTCGAAATCGGACATTTTATACTTAATGACCTAATATTATGATAATATCAAAAACAAATTTTTTTAAATCATATCCAATACAGCGACCTACTTAGCTCTTTTTTAAAAAAACTTCATTTAACGGTTAAAATCCAAATCTAATTGAAACTTGAATCTTTGAATGTGAGAAACTTGATTTTTAAACAAAGCTTTAGACAGACAGCAAGAGACAGCCAAACAAATATATTTTAACGTAATATAATAGTAATGTACGGAATTAAAGGAAGAATATCACACACACACACACACACACACACACACACACACACACACACACACACACACACAAAGTGAAATATACATATATATAAAATAAAGATTTAATATACCATTCGATATATTTTGTACAACATATATATTCAGATAGAAATAATTTCCCTAATATAGCTCTCCCAATAAATCTAATATATTTGTATAAGAAACGTTCTTACTTTAAGTATAAACAATGTAGAAGGTTTATTACATATGGTACAAAAATAATGATGCTTTTTGTTGTACGTGGGATATTAAAGATAAACAACGCCTTTACATCTGCCTTTTGTTGTTAAATGTCGATTATGTCGAAATGTCGATAACAGCCAAGTAATTACTAGTGGTCTTCCGGGTAGTTAAATTCCTGTAACAATACTCGCGTTTGTTCTCTCGTCCTCTTTATCATATCTAATGACTGATGACTGATGAGGATGCTTTGCGCTACCAAGTAACTTAAGCCGACGGTACACGATGCTTGTTTTCGCGCTGGATTGCTTGCTGGATAGAAATACTGCGTTCTGATTGGTGCATTTCCAAAAATAGATGACAATACATCAATCAAAACGCAGTATTTGCATCCAGCACGAAAACAAGCATTGTGTGTCGCTGACTTTAAACGCACGCGCAAGGTGACACGAGGTTTGCGGGGGCAATCACAACGCAATAAGTCATCGGATGCGTTAACTATGACAAATAGACGATGAAAAAGAAACAAAAAATATATCGTAATACTACTGCTTGATAAACCTATAAAGACAGTGTATGTGTTATATGTGTTGTGTACGTGTGTATGCACAGACACCAATCTTTTTTGCATGCGTTTGAAATTAATGATCTAAAATTGAATGGGTAAATATGAATCAAACACTGGTAATAGTGTGAATGTATGAGTCTCTAAGGATATTTTAGAATGCAATTTTCTATTTAAGAATATTTTAGAACCTTCCTCAAATTTATGTATTTTTAGGCCTTTTATTAATTTTAAAGATATTTCAAGATATTTAACAAGCTGAAAACCATCTGCTTTTTAACACTCTTTGTCCTAAGCCTGAGTATAGGTCGGGGTAGCATGCAGACGACAACTGCCGAAGCCCGAGTCGGGCTTGGCTATTTAATTCCATACGTTTCTGCTGCTTTTAAAGTGCTTTTTTCACACTTAAAATTGATATATTGGTTGCTAAGTTACAACATACACCAACAACGGAAATTTTTTAATAGACATCAAAATTGTCGAGGGTCCATTAATAAATCCTCTTTAACCCTTTCGCTAAGAGCGTCGCCTATAGACGACATCCGCGCGACGACCTGTGTGTACGAGCGTCGCCTATAGACGACATCCGCGCGACGACCTGTGTGTACGAGTGTCGCCTATAGACGACGTCAGCGTGATACCACTTGACCATGAGACCCGCGATGTTTTTATTATTATGACGAGGCTGCACCGAAAGATGTAAGTCCGAACACCAGTTTACCTAAGCGCAACATGTACACTTTTCGGCGCAGTGCTCCGTTCAGTGCCGCTACTCCGGCGGCACGGTGGTCCGTTCAACGGTGTTACTCCGACGGAGCACACTGCCGTAGCGAAAGGGTTAAGGCCAAGGCTCCAAAGTGTTAATCATCTAGTCATGCTCTTTTTGTTATTCTTTTACTTTTCCAAAATAAATAAATATTAAATATGTTCAAAATTTTTAGACTTTGCGCACACGTGAATCACATGAAAATATAGCGAAAAAGAAACTGAAATTTTTACATTTAGCATTAAACGTTTGAGCGCCGAATGAGACTATAATATAAATATGCGATCAAAAATGCTTTTTAAATGCCAAGGCGGTCAATGCCCAAATATATATACTAATATATATATATACAATGGCGGACGTATACTTACATACAGTAAGTAGGAAAATTAGTACTTAGGAAAATTAAGTTTTATTCGTTGTGTACTTATACATGAAATAGTTAAACAAAAAGTCCATTACGTTTTTTACAAGTTTATAGCATATATTATGAGATAGCAAAACAGTGTTTATCGATTTACAATATTTAAGAAGTTTCTTGTGTTTGCTCAAGTGTTAATAATTAAGAAGTTTTTTGTGTTTGTTTGTTCGTGTTATATTTTCTGCGGACACGTACTTACGTACACTGTGGTAATATACAGATAGGTCAAAATTTCTGCATTAAACAATACTTATCAGTATCTACCGAGTAATGTAGGTAGAGAGACGTGTTGTGACAGTGTAACAACTGTGATGAGCAAACGAAAGAATATAACGCTAGAACAATGTCGTGCAAATACAGCAACTTCGCAAAAATGGGAAGTCTTATCGGAAGATTTCTACAGAGCTTGGGATATCTGTTATGGCTTGTTATCAAGCTATACAACGTATTAAACGTCATGGAACGCTAGATAATGTTCCTCGTAAAACAAAACCTTGTTAACCTAGCGTTATGTTCTTTCAAGAAACTTCTTAGTTATTGTAAATCCATAAATACTGTTTTGCTGTCTCATAATATATACTATAAACTTGTAAAAAACGTAATGGACTTTTGTTTAACTATTTCATGTATAAGTACGCAACGAATAAAACTTAAATTTTCCTAACTGTACGTAAGTATATGTCCGCCACTGTATATTTATAAAATAAATTAAGTTACGCAAATATTACGATACTACTCTCAAACATCAAGTATGATAATTACATAATAATGTTAAGTCATGAAGTTGTGAAAGAAAAAAAAGAATACAGTCGGTCACTGGACAGTTGCAGTTTTTTTTTACATGTTTCGGAACACATAAAAAACAACGAAGCGAACCTATGATTTACGAACATGTTCGGTAGATAGTCCAGACAGCTGTCAAAATAATATTGGGTTGGCAAATAAGTTCGGTTTTTTTGACTAGTATAAAATACAATTTATTTAATATATAAAATATATACTAATCAATAATGTATTGACCATTCTTTTCTATGACTTCTTGCCATCTTTTTACCAATTTCATAATCCCACATTCATAAAACGTCTGAGGTTTACCGGCAAAAAACTGATCCAGTTGCGTTTTAACNATTCGTGCGGCACCCAAACATTGAGGCGAGAAACGTATCCCAACTGACGCAAATGGTTTTCTACACTTGTGTGGGATATATTAAGTGTCGTAGCAATCTCTCGTATTGTTTGCCATGGATTTTTGTCGACGGTATTCTTTATTACAGCTGAATCAATCTCTGCTGGACGACCAGAACGGGACGCGTCACATCAAAATCTCCAGAACGGAATTTGGCAAACCATTTTTGACACACACGTTCTGTTAAAGCATCGTCCCCATACACATTACAAATCTTCTTATGAGCTTCCGCAGCTCGTTTGCCTTTTTTGAAATAAAAAAGTAAAATATGGCGAAAATGGACGTTCTTTTCTTCCATATTTGCTACCGTGCAGTACGCACAATACTCTGGTATTAACCGGCGTATGTTTACAAATAGGTTAGGTGGAACGTCGCTTTTCAGCTGTGCAAGCGCGTTGTGCGATAGCGCTGTGGAAAAGAGATAGCAGAACGAGTAAACCTACTCCGATTAAAAAACCGAACGAACTTATTTGCCAACCCAATATATACACATGTTTTGACATATCTAATTTTAATAGCTGTTTGACCATCTATTGCGCATGCTCGTGAATCATAGGTTTGCTTCGTCATATTTTTTGTTCTGAAGTATGTAAAAAAAATACTATTGCAACCGTCCTGTGACCGGCTGTACATATAATAGCATTTATTCGAGATTTTCTCGCATGAAATAAAAGGAGCGCGATAACGCTCGCTGGCGTTTTTGCAGGTAAAAACAAAAGAAGCTCCTTGGTGCTCAAACGGTTTAAATGTTTAAATTCGCGTTCCTTGAGCACTTTGTTACGCGAATAACATATTCCCTTCCAATAACGTGTGTCTCTTACTTTTTCCGCATTCACGATATTATGCTGTGATATATTTTATTCAACTATAGTTATGATATATGAACTGTTTTATTAGTCCCATTTACATAAAATGTAACTTGTTTCTAACGTAATATACCTGAATTGATATATGAATCGTATAAGATTAACTATTTCGTTTTTGTACCTTTGACAAAGCACTGATTCCAATCGTAGCAACTACACCGAAGCCGAACATAAGTAAATATGCCCAGTACTTCAGGCCTGGTATACCTGACCTTTTCTTCATCAATTGTTGAAGTATATTCATTTTTGCATCAGAATATGGTGGGTAGCGGCACCTGAAGAACAAATTTCTTGTTTAGCTGCTGACAAACTGAGGTATTATTTCTCACACATATACCATTAAGATATATAAGATAATTATAATGTAAAATTTTTATGAAATAAAGAGAGAGGGGGAGGGGGAGAAAGAGTGAGAGGGGGGGGGAGAGATATTTATACAAGAAAAATCGACTAACTGAGCCAAATTTTCTGCCAATTTGTTGTAGGTTCGGTACAAACAGCCCTTTTTGTGCGTGAACGTGTCGAACGAATATTTTCCATGATAGGCACCCATACCGGAGTTTCCTATTCCTCCAAAAGGCAAGGTCTCCACTATGAGAAATAAGTAATATAATGATAACGTTTGAAACATACACATTAAATATGATATATTTACAATGGCATTATATCTACTGCACGTATTTATAGCTACAATGTTAGTCACAGCATCTAATGCATTCTATTAAAGTGACAGATAAGAAGAAAGCAAAATAAGCAACCAATAAGAAGCGAAATGACGTCGGACTTGTAAAAGAATTATGGATTGTGACTATAAAATATATAGTACCTGCTGCGTGCATTAATGTGTCATTAAGTACAAAGCCACCACTAGATGTATTGTTGGTGAACAGCGACTTGATCTTTTCGTTTTGGCTAAATATGTACATCGCTAATGGTTTTTCCCTATATATGTATTACAGAAGTAACGCAAATACGTCAGTGTCATTTCTTCTTTTGGGATAAGCTACATTATATGTAATAACAAGAAAAATATTCGGTACATCACGTTGCGGTATCGTCAAGTCTGATCTTGCAATTTTACGATTATTTCTACAATTTGAAATATTGCTTTACGTTGCGTAGGTATGTTACTGCTCCCTATTTATTTTCAAAACGATCAGTTGGATGATGATATTCTGATCAGATATTTGTCACCAAAATTATAACATCATCATATTTTTGAAATTATCGGATAAACGTCAGATTTATCAGGTTACACAGTATCACAGTTCAATCGTTAAGTCCTTTGTTTATAAGATATATATAGAAGTGAAATTGCTTACAGAGAAGATATGTATATCTTTCACCGTCTATCTAAGCAATATAAAGATTCAAGTAAGTAACTTTTATATCAATTGTTTTACAATAGCAGTGTTCCAAATATTATCGAGAGGTTAAGAATAATTAATATATGATACATAATGTTTAGAAAAGGAAGAGAAAAAAGAAAAAAAACAATTAAAAGGACGTTTCACTTTTTGCACCATAATTAAGTGCTCAATGAGATGAAAAATATTCTTCTAAATATCCATGCACTTCTAAATATCCATGACTAAAAATATTACATGCATGACTAAAAATATTACATGCACGACTAAAAACATTACATGCGTGACTAAAAATATTATTTCCTAAACGAACACGATATTTACAAACATTCGAACAAATATATCTTCCAAGTACATTCCAAGAAATTAAAGATATTTCCAATAAGCAGCCTATATCAAACTTCGTTTGGCGATTTGCGAATTGGCGATTGAGATTCCATTGATTCAGGTAATCTCAACCTTGGCTCATTTTGTTCTGATTAATCGACCTCTAATTTCCACTTTATAATCCTCAGATTCTAATAAGCAGTCTAATACAAATTTTACTAATTTTTGGGACTTAAACAATATTGCTACGAGTACTAAAGTGTATTCGTTTTCGCGCCGCTGAACTAGTGCAATAAGTTGAAGCTAGACAAGTATATGTTTTCTCACTTCAACTTATTGCACTAGTTCAGCGGTGCAGCGAAAACGAACAGACCTATAGCTACAGAGATACATAAAGGAATAATACATGCTTATAATAAAAGCTTTATACAGTTCATAGGTCTTAGGTCATAACAACATTGTCACCAGATCCATTGTTATCGACCTGAACTCACCGACAAAATGCATTAACGTGTCATTGACGCATACCCCTCCACTGCGGGTCTGGTTGACAAATAGATCTCGCATTTCTTTGTTCTTCGAAAATATGTATAGTACGAGTGGATTTTCACTAGATGCAGAATATTAATTAATTGGATGCTGTACCTCATAAGTTCCATATGAGTTAAATCAAACATGTGACTCGGAACATTTTTCTGAACTCTATACACACAATATTCACATACAATATGCGTGAGGTAGAATTCTCATTGCTCGAAATAATACACAAGGTTTCCGAATTGATGTTCGTTACCTTATGTTAGCGCTATTTCTTACTAAAAATTCAAGTCAAACTACTGCAATATTCAAGAAAATGGTGATTATTCAACAAGTCTTCAAGTCGTATAAAAAAAACATTGTAGATTGACACATGAAATAATTCCTAATTCATCAGGTATTTCAGGAAAAAATGGGTTGGAATTTTTTCATTTGATTTTTGATAAGGAATGAATAACAATTAGTGGGTTCCAATTATGAAAAAAGTTCTGTGAAAAGTAGACATATGCGAATGGCTGAATAACTAAAATAGTTACAAAATCAGACTTAAAAATACACGATATTTTCCGATAAATTTATATGTAAAAAAACACAATAAGCGATATTCGAGTCTTCAGTTACGTACTGGAATCAAATATCCCATTCAAATTACTTACCGGCTGTTAATGAATTCAATTGCTTCGTATGCGTTATTAATATTTACTATCGGCAATATCGGACCGAAAATCTCGTGTTGCATGACAGGATCCGTCGGTTTGACGTTAACGAGTATCGTGGGCTCGATAAACTTATCTGCAGGATTTACATTGCCGCCCACAATGATCTTACCGTTGCCTAGCAAGTCAACAAGTCGCCTGAAAATAGAAAAAAAAAAAAAACAACTTTTGTTAAGTTAAATGTAACTGAAAACGATCCAAGGTGTCCATGAGCGTCAATTTGAAAGAAGTTGCGCGCAATTAAGTTGAATGTAATCCTGTCGATGTTTGTGTCGCAAAACTCACTGGTAATGTTTGTCTGAGACGATGCGCACGAGGTCGGGACTCTCTTGTGAATTTTCGCCGTAAAACTCCTTTAAGATTTTTTTGGCTATGTCGATAAATTTATTCTGCACCTCAGGCGTACAAAGAATGTAATCGGGAGCGATGCACGTTTGACCACTGTTTAAGCATTTGCCCCATAAGATGCGTTTCGTCGCTATTTCGATGTCCGCCGTGTTGTCTATGTACACAGGACTGTAAGTGGTGGTAAATGGTTAATGCAACTATATTCAAATGAGGATATTTTAACTCGCATATATGATAATGACGTATTTATTTTCGATACGCCTCGGAATACATTTAGCAAAAAGATATGTTCTCTGAGAATTCCTCAAAAGAAATCTTTCGTCAGATGCGTTTCGAAGTGCAGAAGACTTCATTAATAAAGTCATAATATTTAAGTCCTAATAGTACAGTGAAAACTTCTGTTCAGACACATCATTTCTAAATATTTGTACGTCGTGCGTTTAATTAGAAAGTTTCGATTTCGTTATACCTAGAGAATAATCACAACCATAAGGATGGATTTCTGGAACTCAGAGTAGAAGAATATTTTTTTGTGATTTTCCCTTAAGATTTTGAGGTAGTTTTAACCCTTATCGGACGCTAGCTTTTTATGCGTGATTCTCACTAGGTTGTAGCTGGTTTCGGTAAATATACGAACTTGTCACCTCTTACGTGACGTACGACCGCAGCGACAAAGTATTGTTGTCACGTGAGAGGTGACTTACGACCGATAAGGGTTAAAAGGAAAATTACATTTGTACAAAAAGTTTCCAAATAAAAAATGTTTTGAATCTTAGAAGATTAATGGAGCCTTCTGTGTACCGAAAAGTAAGTGCTTTATGCCCGCGATTATACATCGCTTTAACCGTTTGAGTCCCGGGGGGTATTGAAAAAACACTGTCGAAGAATCCCAAACAGCGCAACCGCGCTTTTACTAAATGAGTACGAAAAGACCCAAGCAGCGCGATAGCGCTTGTTTTATTTCATGTCGAAAAATACCAAGCGGCGCGATAGCGCTTCTTGTATGTGTTAGGTAACGTGATTCTCGTCTTTTTCTCATCGCTTCGTCATATTTATTGCAGTTTGTAAAGTGATCGGACATATTTTTTCGTAAGTGTTACTCATTAGTAATAATTGTGTGTTTCAAAATGATTAGACGAAGCAACGCAACAAGTAATTTACGACAATGCGTAGTCTGCAGCACAAAAAATGCAATAAAAAGATCACATTTAATTTGCATGCGATGTAAAAAAGGAATTCTAATATGTTTTGATAAACACCGATGTTACAAATTATAAGTGTTACTCTCCATTTAAATTGTTTGTTCATAACACAAAAATATTGTTAATTTGTAATTCGTTATTTTATAAAATACATCTGTATTATTACATATGCGTACTGTAAATTTATAAATATTTCAAGTTTTGTTCGATAAAATTTATTGAGAAGATAACAATGAAATAAAAATTTTTATTTTGGAATGTATTATTGCATTATTATAGTATTATTCTACATATTGTAAAATGTACTATTTACATTAAAAGGAGCTGTGTGATGTACTTGCGTCAGTAAATCTGAGCTTGCGACTTCGACAATCGGTAACGCACCGTCAGTTGTCCANTAATTTGTAATTCGTTATTTTATAAAATACATCTGTATTATTACACATGCGTACTGTAAGTTTATAAATATTTCAAGTTTTGTTCGATAAAAATTATTGAGAAGATAACAATGAAATAAAAATTTTTATTTTGAAATGTATTATTGCATTATTATAGTATTATTCTATATATTGTAAAATGTACATTAAAAGGAGCTGTTTGATGTACTTGCGTCAGTAAATCTGAGCTTGCGACTTCGACAATCGGTAACGCACCGTCAGTTGTCCATAATGCTTGAAATGTGCTGGGTTTTCTCGACATAAAATCTCAACAGCGCGATCGCGCTGCTCGGGACTCAAACGGTTAATTAATGTATACTTGTTTCTATCGTCATGGTTTAAATTTAATCGACGATTAACTCAACAGTATTGATCAATCACACTTGCCAATTAGCTGAACTAATAATGAGCTGAACCGACTAATGGCAAAAGGGCCAATTCTATTCAGTTAATCTCGATTAAATTTAAATCAAAGTGATAGAAATAGGCATTAGCCGCACCGTCATTTTACCTCTTGCCACCCAGCTCCAGCGTAACAGGCGTAAGGTATTTATTAGCCGCTTCCCGCACGATTCTACCGATCGCCGTGGACCCGGTGTAGAAAATATAATCGAAACGTTGCTTGAGTAACTCCGTCGTTTCGGCGACTCCACCAGATATTATGTGACAACAGTCCTATCCGCAAGAAACACGGTCGATTTCGAAGTAGTTATCTTCTCGCAAAGCAAATATGCTATAAATTGCGAATACCGTTGTACATACCGTGTCCAAATATTTCGGGACGGTCTCACATAGATATCTCGACGTAGCCGCTGCCACTTCGGACGGTTTTATGATCACGCAATTTCCGGCCGCGATTGCGCCTATCAAGGGGCTCAGTACCAACTGAATGGGATAGTTCCATGCACCGATGATCAGCACAACACCATAGGGATCCTTGCGGATCTCCACCGAATCGAAAGTGTACGCCAGTCCCGCAGACGGCTGCAAGAGATCGCATTTCAAGTGTTTTGCGTTCTGAGTTACCGCGCACCAAAATCAATCGAACAAATAAATGGAAGCAAGAAAGCGATCGGCGTAAATTATCAGGTCTGTTCGTTTTCGTTGAACTAGTGCAATAAGTTGAAGCGAGACAAGTATATGTTTTCTCACTTCAACTTATTGCAATAGTTCAGCAATGCAGCGAAAACAATCAGACTTATCGATAAGGTGACCGTGGTGAGGTGCATACTTACTTTTTCCGGAGCTGCCCATTCTTTGATATGCATTAGCACATATGTAATTTCCTGTGTCACATAGTCGATCTCCGCGATGTACGACTCATACTTGGACTAAGGAAAAAATCAAAGTTTCGCAATAAAATTAGATAATATTGAGATTATGTAAAGCGCACAATTTTCTACAGTAACATGGACGTACTTTACGTAAGTCCTCCTCCAGCACCGCTATAATACTCGATGAAGTCTCCTTTAACATATGCTGGAGTTGCTTCAATTGCTTGATTCTCCATTCTATCGGTCTGGTCTTACCACTGTTGTACGCATCTCGCGTTTGTTGGACTAACTGCGACGATAATAAATTATATGAATTAATGCCGACTGCTCTTATTTTATTCTTATCTGCTTCGCGGACGCGCGAAATATCGCGGGAATATTGATTTCGATTCGCTCGAATTGTAAGTCAAATGCCAAGGTGACGATACTAAAGTGATTTTTTTTGAAATACAGGTCACTTACGTCAGAGAAGTTCGTCGTCTGTTTGCCATTCGTGTACGCTGCAACAAAGAAACATTTCAAATTCTCGACTCTTGGTTTACATAGGAAGAGGTCGGCTAAATTTAGATCTTATTTAAATAGAGGGGGAATTTATGTAAATTAAATGTACATATCGATAAATTAGCTGTGCGTATTGTTATTAATACAAAAGGTGGAAGTACAACAAACTATACGATTACGACTGAATTTTGTGGAAACATTAGTCATTATACTGATATATTCAAAATATACTCCTGCTTGAGGACTGCTTTGTACATTTGCTACACGGACAAAAATGTTGCTGTAATGCTGTAGAATTGATCAACGCTGCATTGGAGCAAATCTTCAATAGCAAAATATTATCAAAATTGTTTTAATGTAACTTGAGAATTCATTTTAATAACATTCTATTTGTGAAACACGTGAGATATTACATTACGACGTCGTAACTGTAATGAAGAATTCAGAAAATACAAAAATATCTTTATCGTACTCTTATCTAAATAGAAAAAAATATAATGAAAATAAGAAAGATACGGTATATACAAGATATCCTGAACTAATCTCCTGGTTCCCGTGGTGTGGCAAGCAGAATGGATAAAACTGAAAAGTCATGTCACTATTTTGCAAAATTCGCAATAGTTAGCGAGGAATTTATTATTTTGTCTGAGCTAGTAAATGCACGGGAAGAAGTAGGCTAGACTCTGTATAAAGAAAAATGGTATATTTCCGAAGGTCTTCTAGTGTGTTTGTCTAACTATAAATAATAGGCGTATGTATATAATGAAGAACGTGTAATTACTAGTTGAAATGAATATCTAAAAGATCAAGGCGATATGACGATCGTTACGCAACTGATTTGTTTCCTTTTATATAACATTCGCAGACTGAATAAAAAATTAGTTTAACGATAGTCGATAAACTTTTAGTTCATCCGATTTATTTGATCAAAGTGCTAAATAATACAGATCAATGTACTAAATAATGTAAAAAAATTTATTTTAATAATATTTTGCTCAGCATCGATAGAATAATAATTTTGTCCTTGATAAGCCACGTGTTCAGTCGTGTTTCCAATGAAAATTATTAAATTAGGCAACTTGCTGATAAACCATTTGAAATACGTAGGATGAGACAATAATTATTATCACTTTTGAATATTTTTGGAAGATAAAAATATTTTATTAACGATCAAATGAAAATGAAAAATGTGTATATTTACAACAAGTGCCTAAAATAATGACCACTGGAATCGACACAACTTTTATTGGATAAATCTTTCTCCTATTCTCATATCTCGAAGATATCCAAAGTATCAATAGTGATTGTCTTATATCCTATATATTTACGCATTCCATTATCGATATCATGTTATGTCCACTTAATGGCTACGTGTCCAGCAAACAAAACAGCTTAATATGTACTTTGCACCACATCGCCGGTAGTTTTATTATATAATATAATATTTTATTACTCGTATCATTAAATTCCTATTTATAGTTTTTGTTGAACGACACCAGCGGTTTACATTTTCCACTTACTAAACGATCATCATTTTTTTCAGCATATTTTTCACGCTAAACATGTTGGAGAAGTGTAAACTGCGGAGTGTCGTGTTCAACAGAAAATCTTCAAACAGTTAGGAAATTGCTGGCGGTACAATGCTTGCTGCTTTTCCTGCCGAGCAAAGCTAATAATTATGCATGAATACAGTATGTTTCTTTTTCAATATCTTGACCCTTGACCGCGAATGCAAAGAGTCGCAATAAATCAATAGAAATGACTCGAGTTGGAGGTAGTTTTTTTCCAAATACCTCTCAGCGCAGTTAAAGACGCAGTATGTTTGTATTATTAATCATCTCACACTTGTCAAGTCTGTATTTGATTAAAAATTGAAGTTTGATTGTGGATTATAAGATTATAAGATATATCTTAATTTGTGAAGATTTGTGATGATTGTGGATTATAAGATTATAAGATATATCATAATTATAAGATTTATCTGATCGGCACGAAAATGAAAGTTGATTGATTTATCAAATTCCAATCTTTAATCCGAAATTTTCGAGCTTCAATTTCGAATTTGACACGGGCTTTGCAGAATGCTTCGATTTGATAAGCGTATCGTATCCTGAAAGAAAAGATCAACAATATTTCATGTGTTGAAATTTCTATTGCAAATTTTATTCGAAGTTAATTCGCTCATCCTGAAAGTTCTGCGAATCCAATTTCGGAAAAAGAGAAGATCGACAATTCAGTATGCTTGCGAATTAACGCGTGGAAATAAGAGAAAAAGAAACAAATGATGAATGTAGATTGACAGGAAAACATTAGCTAAGTTCGGTAGAAAAAGTAGCTTAAGCCGTTAATACATCAAATTATTCCATTCTAAAGCTCGCCACAAGAGACCCACATTCTAAAAGCGGCTTTCACCAAACTCAACTTAAACTAATCATTGAGTAATAATAGGAAATGCCAACACCAATTCCCAATTTTATAATTTGTCAACAAGTTTATTCAACAAGAATCAAAAAATTAATAATTTCTATTTACGTTAAAATAGAACAAATAATTTAACTGACAGTGGTTTTAAATTGACTAAAATAATCAGAATTCAGTGAAAGTTACCTTAACTGATATAACTTGATGTGTTACATTACTTGATCTGTGTATATTATAAGTCTGTATTTTTTAGCTAAATCAGATTACATCTTTTGCTTTTAAAGTTAAATAAATATATATAAGTATATAGTATATAAATATAGAGTCTATCGCTAAGTGTCTCATCCGTCGTATACTTATAGTTTAAGTAAATGTGAATAAGAAAGTCCTCTAACATTTTGCAAACTATGCAAAATTTTGTTATTAATTTATTGAAAGTAGCCATGTATAGAGGTTTCTTTAAATAATAACTCAAAATACAGGTGTGGTTATTTGCAAAATAGTAAAGCTTTGTTTTGTTCAGAGTGATTTAATCTACAAATATATGATAGCTGTTAAACATAGTGACGGTATATTGAACTTTGAAGTTTGAATTTGGAATTTGTCACTGGGTATACAGTTACACAACATATATATACATGTACACATGTATATATATATGTGTATATGACTCAGAGATAAAAAAAGAAGAGGAACCAAGTTCCAACGAAGCACTAATTCAATTAAAAACAAGTACTCATTATTATCTAAACGAGCAATTCATAATTTGTAAGATATCGTGACTTCATTTACAAAAAATAACATACTGATAATATCGTGGATAAAATATTTCATGATAAAAAGTGAATTTTCATCAGGTCTGTTTGTTTTTGCTACACCGCTGAATTAATGCAATAAGTTGAAGTGAGGAAACATATACTTATTTCGTTTCAACTTATTGCACTAATTCAGCGGTGCAACGAACAGATCTATCATTTCGTTCCATATTATTCTAAAACTCACTACGCTTTTAGCTCAACGCCGAATAATCTCGAACGAAATTGTAGCCAAGTGAAAAATCACGCTAAGCAAATAAACTTGACACTCCTTGTATCTTTGTGTGGAATTTCACGCAGTATGGAATGTCAAAGAGACATTTTTTTATCACGAGCAAAACGTGTTTGATACATGGTCATGGATTTCGTCGGTTTCTGTATTTATTTACTTTCGTAACTTTGCGTGTAAGGCGAGACTACGTAAATGCGTGTGCGCGCGAGAGAGAGAGAAATGCGAAAAGAACGCCTTACCCATAGCGGTGCGATTAACTGTTCTTTCGGTTGTCACCCGATAACTAACCGTCAGACTCGACTAAGGAGGAACGATAGGCTGTATCTGACACTTCTTCGGTCGCCAATCGTACATGTGATATGATGCACCGCACACTGCGTCAGAGAATCCAAAGAAGAGAGATAAAAGCCCAATGTATACTTATAGGTGATTATTTTCTCAATGACAGCGGGAATAGCGAGGAGCGGTGGAAATGACGTTGCACAATACCACTTATCACAACAGTACAGAATATAATTCGCATTTTGCTGAGGAGAGCGTTTCCATGCACATATGCGCGATCTACATATCAGTGATGCTATTTCGAGCCTGAGCTGGAGAATTTCATAGGGTAAAAATGGTGAACTCTGATTGGATAAAGTCCTTAAAGTGCCTCTAGGCTACACTTTCTGTGGTATATGCAGTTTTAGATATTTCAGCTCGGCGAAGTATTTTACTACCAAATTATTTTCTGAGTCTTTTTTGCAAATATACAATGTACATTGTAGAGCCGGATTTTGCAATTAAGTTCTTAGATTGGAACTAACTTTGATTAACTTAACCAACTGATTAGCTCAACGAAATTGACCAATCGCACTGATCAGTTTATCCAATTGGCAAATGCCATTGATCAATTACATTGAGTTAATCAGTCGGTTAATTGAAATTGGTGCAAGTCATCCTTAATAATTTATAATTAACAGAAATACAGACTCATGCTGTATTCTGAGTGCCACGAATGTGTTACCTGCAGTGTAACACGAATAGATAACTGGTTATCATCCAAGCTGATTGCAAGGTAAAATTTACCGACAGAAGATTTGTCTGTGCTTAATTTTAGGCAGCATAATGTTTAAAATAGTGACATAAAACATCTTTAAAATACTTTAAGATATCTTAAATTCGTTAATATAAAACATTCTAGATATTAATATTTAAGTTAACATTAAATATTCTTTAAGACATCTTAAATTCGTTTTTAATCGCTACTTAGGATGTATTATTTAAATATATGAAGTAAATGGAAATGTCATGAAGGAAATAATGTTTATCTTTATGAGTCTGCATAAATAAATAATTTACATATACATAGATAAAGTAATTATCATACAATAAATTTAAAGTATGCAATATCGTACTACATTATTTATGGAAAATAATCGTGAAATCGATTGAGTTGTTCATACGGCTATTAGTTATACGGCTATTAGCTATACGGCTATCAATTTATCTGGAACAAGACTTTATACTTAAAAATCATTTTTTCTTGCGATAAATTCCAGTTGGGCCGATCAATATTGTGAGAATGATGTCAAGAGTCAAAAGTTATCAAAACGAGAAACGTTACATTCTATGAATCTACATTACTAGTCATATTTCTATATTCAAATTATGTGTATTTAAATAAATTATTAAAGTGAGCGGTAACGTATATCGCAATAAATTCTTTGAAAGATCAAATACCCAGGATAGAGATCTTTCCTTGGAAAAAGTGAAAGGTTTACTTTATCAAATTTCTCTTTTAAAGGACTAAAATTTAAATAATGAGCTGACTGATCATGGTCGAAAATAATCGAGAACATTGGACTGGTTGTTTTTAAATTTTCAACTATGATTAATTAATTCGCTTATCGTTTAAGATTTACCGCTTACGCCTTTCATACGTATATAGTGACAAATAATGACAGCAAAAAGATTTGTTATACGAAAAAAAGAATTTTGCTGTTGTAGTAAAACATTGTTGTGACAGCGATAAAATTTAGTTGGCACAATAAAAAATTAATATTTTTAATAAATCCTTTTGCTGTCCAAACAAGTTTTTTTGTCATTATATTAAGAAATAATTTGCTGTCTCTGCAAAATTATTTTCTCTACGACTGATTCTCTATGACTTATCAATGACATTATCCAGAATATAATTTGTATAACTGCACAATGCATTTTCTCTCTCTCTTGCAGAAAAGTTGATCAATCGCATGACAAGTTTAAAAGCAACCGTAATGTACGCTCTTTGTATTTGTTTTACCGATCATTTGATACAGTTATCAAACGGTAACTTTTTTTATTAAATCATCTTAATTTCGATGATGCAAGTACGATTGCGTATTAAACTGGCACGATATGCATCAAGAAGACGTATTATAACAATTTAATACACCATTGTTTACAATTATCATTGAGATAAAGATAATTTAATGTAAGGTTATTAGCTGATTAGATGCATATAAACAAGACCATTATATTGGATATATAATTGGTCGAAAAATCGACCAGTTACGTAACTAATATAATGAAAATATAATAAGATAGCTACTTTTAACACGTTGACGCCGGCGTGCATCACCGGTGGGTCACACGTGCCTGTCCCGTGAGGTGGCGTGCATCAACGCCGCCCCACGAAGCAGACCGTGCATTCGGGCGCCGCCTCACAGAGAAAACCTTGAATATCGGCGCCGGTGTCAACGTGTTAAATTTAACGAACATCACGTATGCGTGATATTGCATGTTTCCATGGACACATTATACGACGTTTTAATGTTTTAGCGTATCGTACCAGTTTAATACGCAATCGTACGTACAAGGTCATAATAACAAGATTTAATGCTCACATATATCACGACGAAACGCATATTTATGAATATTAATACCAAGGACTTTTCATCTGTCTGTTATTTTACATACACAATCAATGAAGTGGTTTTATTACAATAGAAGTCAGCAAAATAAGATATAACCATTATACATACTACGTATTTACTATTAAAAGAACTTTATTGTAGCTTGATTGTGTATTTAAAATCGGCTCAACTACGATCTTGAGATGTTACAGAGTCTTTTTTTGCTAAATAGCATCTTAGGGTTATCATTCAACGACGACCTTTAATACATAATAGCGATGACTATAGCAATATGAACATACTGTATAAAAAGTAATGGAATAAAAAGAAGAGGAAAAATATCGACCGATAATGTTAGAGTTCTTCAATTATCACGTATGACATCTAACGAAAGTTATAAAAATTTAATCGGTCTTCGATTGGCCTATAATTGGCGGTTTTTAATAGCGCATTAGCCGTAGAGAAGAGTAGTTACAGAGCGACCGTTAGAGGTCGTCATCTGTCGATCGTCGCACCGGTTATGGAAAATTTATTTACACGCTTCGAACGAAAGTGAAAGATAATATCCAGGGAGATCTAGACGGAGCGGAAGGCGACTGTTATCAAACTAACCGCCATGTATTTCTCGTACAGAGCACTTCAGGTAATGCGCACTTTCTCCCGGACGTGGAAGTAAATTTCTTTCGCGAATTCGCAGTGAATCTTTCCACGCCGCGATGTCTCATTTCGCACTGTTATCTTTCAACGTAATATCCGGCGTTCAATGTTTTATAAATATAACCGAACTCCACGTAATATTAATTCCTGCTGTTATTTATCTCGATATGCATAATTATTCTTTATGTCATTTTAACTTTGCTCTTACAAACTTAATTGCTCTTACAAGAACGTAATTACTGATTATTGTAAATTACTGTTGCTTGTACGAGTAAGAAATGCACTGAAAAATAGTAATTTATTATTGGCCGATTTATTGACAGTCACTGAAGCGTAATTTACAATGGGCAGTAAGAGTATGTTCAGGAGAAGTAAGAATAAGAAATTGATCAATCATATTCGAATATAAGGAAAATAATCGACTATGATTAGTATTTCTTATTTCTTATAAACATATTCCTACTACCCATTATAGATTACGTTTAATACTTTTTTGTAAGGGTAATTATAAAGCGCTCTCGATGATTGAATGGAAGATTGATCGACTAGTTCTAATCAACCGGGACCTAGCTAACCAGTAAGGCACATTTGTATTTGGAAGCAAGGAATACGTTTAAAATCTAAAAATCTAAGAACTCATTACCATTCTCGTTAATATTCTTATTAAGATTGTTATTTACTTTTTATCGCAATGTCAGCGATAATAATCGCATATTGACGCAGTGAAAATTGCGATCTAGCATCGATTATAATTAGTTTATATGTTACGTCAATGATGTTGGCGTGTTAACAAGTTAATTTATTAGTATTATTATTATATTAATTAATTACATTAATTTATTAGTATTTCTGAGTGTGAATTTTGTCAAACACATGATTATCGATACATGATTGTCGATACATGATTATCGATTTTTTCCTAATACTGATATCATCGCATTTAACATGCAAACGATACTGAATAGAATATTGTTATCATCGCATTTAAAATGCAAACGGTACTGAGAATGCTCCATGTTAGCGCGCTAACATCGTTGTAAGCGCTCTCAGATTACAGGCCAAAATGTTTTAGTAACATTTGATAATTTTAATATTAATAATAGATTATTTGATGAATATTATCTAATCTTACATAAGACGAGTTGAGGCAGACTAAAATAACATTATTGTTAAATGTCAGATGATGCAAAAATCATTGTGCCTGAACAGGATTGTGAAGAAACCGGTATGAAAGTGACTGTTTGTAATGTTCGGTTGCTCGCTTAGAATACGCGAGATGCGTGAGTTTTGGTGAACATATTTCTATATTGAAAATTTACTATGCTACTGAACTCTTCAGCTGCATAAGTTCTACATACTTCTGTAAAAATTAACTTTTCCTTTAATACGTCCTACAAAATATATATGTTTCGCAAGATATAAAATATATGTTCTTCTGGGAGGTGTATATATTTTGAAAAAGCGCTCGTCACTTGCAAACGCATATATAAGTGATCTTGCAGAAACAAAATAGAATTTCTTATCATTCACTATTGTTATTGAAATTTTCGTTCGAAATGTGTACAGTTAATTTTGAAAACACATTTAATTCTTTAACATATTCAATTATTTATTTTCCAATATTTAATCTTTCGTAATACTATAGCCACAAGTAGGACTCTTACGTGAGACATTAAACTACCTGCGTGACATGATTTCGGTATCAGAGTTGGTATCCCAGCGATCAACGTGTACATATCGTTCAAAAATCTATCAGAATGCCAATTATATCTAATATATAATTAATCAATTAATAGATATAATTAGCCTTTTGATATTTCTATATATATATAATTAAAATTATTATACATTTAGATGTATATGTATATATATGTATATATATGATTAATGTGCAAAATAGTTTCATCACATTTTTTGTACACCGAGATAATATTGTAGCTTTTTTTCACATTCTTTTCAATTTACTATATATTTATTTACTAAATGTTTTTTAACGGTATAGGGATAGAATTTGAATAACCAGGAGA